GATAGATAGATAGATAGATAGATAGATAGATAGAAAATAAAATCTAAATAAATAAATGAAATGAAAAACAAACCAGTCAAAATAAATAAATAAAATAAAATAAACAAGTCTAACTAAATAAAAACAAACCAGTCTAAATAAATAATAAAAAATAAACCATACTAGATGATAGATAGATAGATAGATAGATAGATAGATAGATAGATAGATAGATAGATAGATAGATAGATAATAAAATCTAAATAAATAAATGAAATGAAAAATAAACCAGTCAAAATAAATAAAAAAAATTTAAATATAAATAAATCTGTCAAGTAGCCAACTGCTTATTCCCAGCCCACCCTTAACAATTCTGCCAAAATGGTCCCCCCCACCCCCCCCACCCACAAGTTACCAGAAGCAGACTTCGTAGGTGACGTCGTGTCTTGACTGTTCGGTGTCTTTGGTCTCCCTCTTTCGGCGCTGACGGGCATCAAATAACTCAATCCGTGACAACGGCTTGCTAGCAGGTGGTGACGTGGGCGGAAGATCGTCTTCATATTCATAATAGTAATCTTCCACTTCAGCTGCGGTAAGAAAACAGAGACAAATGTTAACAAGGGTCTACGCAGAGCTGAGACCGTTGGCATTGTGAGGTGTGGGATATATTTGCTTTTCCCACGGGCACGCTGAATATGGAGTGTGCTTCATAGGAAGAACGGCTGCAGGAATTGGGTATGTCTAGTTCAACGAAAAGAAGGACTAGGGGTGTCCCAAAGGTGTTTTTTTCAAGAGGCAACTGGACTTTCTGAAGACGTTTCACTTCTCATCCAAGAAGCTTCTTCAGCTCTGAAGAATGAATCAGTGAAGAAGCAGCTTCTTGGTTGGGAAACGAAATGTCTTCAAAGAAAAACAAGGAAATCCTGTTGTCTCTTGAAATAAAACACCTTGACCTGGATGATTCAGAATCTCTGTAGACAAGGACTAGGGGTGATATGATAGGTTTAGGTTTCGGTTTATTCGATTTATATGCCGCCCTTCTCCCAAGGACTCAGGGCGGCGTACAANTGTTCCACTGATTAATTGTTTTGACTGTCAGGAAATTTCTCCTTAGTTTTAAGTTGCTTCTCTCCTTAATTAGTTTCCACCCATTGCTTCTTGTTCTATCCTCAGGTGCCTTGGAGAATAGTTTGACTCCTTCTTCTTTGTGGCAACCCCTGAGATATTGGAACACTGCTATCATGTCTGCCCTAGTCCTTCTTTTCATTAAACTAGACAGATCCAGTTCCTGCAACTGTTCTTCATAATTTTACAACCTGCTGCAGCACTTCATTGGTGGATGTGATTTATGAGACACTTGAGGGGAGGGGAGACACAGGGGTAAAATTCAGCCACCATTAAACGGAAATCAGATCTGATTCCATGGCAGGCGTTGCCAAAATGTTGCTCCTAATAAATGACTGGATTTCTTTTGAACTTTGTCTTGAGGCTCGTAAATTAATTAGGGCATCTTATGGGAACCTCACACCATGAAGCAGTATATAAGTCTAAGTGCTATTGTTATTAAGAGCCAAGGTGGTGCAGTGGTTAGAATGCAGTGTTGCAAGCTAATTCTTCTGACTGCCAGAAGTTCGATCCTGACTGGCTCAAGGTTGACTCAGCCTTCCATCTTTCCAAAGTTAGTAAAATGAGGACCCAGATTGTTGGGGCCAATATTCTATAAACCCACTTAGAGAAGGCTGCAAAGCACTGTGAAGCGGTGTATAAGTCTAAGTGCTATTGCTATTAAAGGGAAGTACAACCTTTTGTCAAGAAGTACCTGAACAAGGTCCACCTCGTCAGGCTGAAAGCCACTCAATAGGCTGATGTCAACAATGACCATGCCAGAAACACGGGCCCCACGTTGTCTCCTGTAGAGAAAGAGAAAGAGAGAAAGGTTGGGAGGTGGGAGAGATTGTTTAATGCCTTTAGTTTGATTGAGTTGTCCTCTGTGATTTAATAGAAACATCAGACAATGACGTTGGATGAATTGGACCACATAATGTTGATACAGGTAGTCTTTGTGTTACAACCACAACCACAGGTGTCAAACCCAATCGTGGCATGTTACATATATACTATACACAAATTCAGCACCTTGCCCTGCTTGACAGCTATTTATACCGGAGCTGTCAAGCAGGGCAGCCAATAGGAACAACAGAAACATCCTGCGCTCAGCCAGGCATGACTTAGCCAATCGGCGCGCCGCAGCAGTTGCTGGCTGTCATTCGTATGTTGAGGACTTAGGACCGGTCGCAAGTCGAGGACATAACAACAACCACAACCACGGGTGTCAAACCCAATTGTGTCAGGTTACATATAGTGATGTTTTTTGCCTTTCCGGAGCTGGGGTGGCCGTGGCCTACGTGTGACACATTCAGCCCACAGGCCACCAGTTTGACAGAAATAAAGAAATAAGTAAATAAAAATAAATAAATAAATAAAAAAACCTGTGAAAATAAATAAACAAAACAAATAAACAATAAATAAAAACTAAACCTGTGGAAATAAATAAAAAAAATAAACCAGTCAAAATAAATAAATGAAAAAATAATAATGAACCTGTCAAGCTATATAAATAAATAAAAACAGTCTAAGTAAATAAATATAAAAAAATAAAAAAAATCAACCAGTCAAGATAAATCAATCAATAAAATAAAATAATAAACCGGTCAAAATAAATAAATACAAACCAGTCAAAATAAATCAATAAATATAAATAAAATAAACCAGTCAAAAGAAACAAACAAACAAAATAAAATAAAGCAGTCTAAAAAAATAAAAACAAACTAGTCTAAATAAATCAATGTAAGAAAATAAAAATAAACCAGTCAAAATAAATAAATACAAACCAGTCAAAATAAACAAATAAATAAATATGAAAAAAACCAGTCAAGATAAATAAAAACAAATCTGTCAAAATAAATATAAAAAATAAACCAGTCAAAATAAATAAATAAAATAAAATAAACAAGTCTAACTAAATAAAAACAAACCAGTCTAAATAAATAATAAAAAATAAACCATGCTAGATAGATAGATAGATAGATAGATAGATAGATAGATAGATAGATAGATAGATAGATAGATAAATAGATAGATAGATAGATAGAAAATAAAATCTAAATAAATAAATGAAATGGAAAATAAACCAGTCAAAATAAATAAATAAAATAAAATAAACATGTCTAACTAAATAAAAACAAACCAGTCTAAATAAAAAATAAAAAATAAACCATGATAGATAGATAGATAGATAGATAGATAGATAGATAGATAGATAGAAAATAAAATCTAAATAAATAAATGAAATGAAAAACAAACCAGTCAAAATAAATAAATAAAATAAAATAAACAAGTCTAACTAAATAAAAACAAACCAGTCTAAATAAATAATAAAAAATAAACCATGATAGATAGATAGATAGATAGATAGATAGATAGA